GGTATTGACCCTAATGTTGACGATAAGTTATCTTGCTGATGTGTACGTATCATATGGAAAGATAACGACTCGCTGATCGATAAGACTACGAAATAATCCTTTGTTCATGTGCGACAAGTAAGACTCAACTTATTGTGAAAGTTATGCGTGAAGCAGGGGCAAGGAAAATATATCTATAACTATGTTACCATACATATTTGGGCAGTTGGCCTTGGCCCTGCTACACAATTCATTTCTAATTGCATTCGTCGTACTAAAGCCGAGAGGCCGATATCGCTGCTGTGGTCATTGGGACTTCGAACTCGCTAGAAAGGCATTCTACCATGAGAGAACCCACATCAGCTCCGTGTAATGATCAATTGATCTATGAAGAAGAGGAAGAGAGAGTGTAAGTCAACAAAGCCTGAAGAATGGGTCTGCCACAGCTGTCCCGGGCGAGCCCCGCGTCAGCCAGAGTCCTCCGAGTTGCCAATAGTGGCCCCGTGACCATTATCGTGAGAAAATTGAGGACGACAGAGAAAACAGATTGTCGACGACGTCCCAGTTGAGCGTTTGATTGCTTGTCAATTAATGGTTACGTCGAAAAACCATTGTCACTCTTAACTGAATCAGAACATCTCGCCTCCTTAACATCATCCCATCAGATCATCTGGCTGAATGGTAGTGTAGGAAACAATGCCCTATACGACTTATCAGTGCCTGAAAGGCTTTTGAAAATCGTAAGCAATTTAAGCTCGGAAATCAAACTTTCTGCCCTTGCTTTGATATCGTACTTGAATTCACGATGGAGACCATCTTGACAGTCTGTTCTCAGGGCTTGCGGTAGGTAATACAAGCGTGGGATATGGTCTTATTGCCTCCACAACAAGCATTTCCACTCTTCAGCTTTCTTCCTTTTGCAAATACACGTGATCATAATGTTCTACTAAGTCTTTTGCAACCGCGTGTGAGGAAGTGCCGCTAAATAGGTAATATCATGATGAAGTCAGTGTTAGAGAATACTGACCGTTATTCGTGAGAGTAGATGATGAGCCAAGTTCTCTCTTGCGGGCGCTGAAGTTTGATTTTACAAATTCTCCACTGCTTGAACCTTGTTGTTGATTCTACCAAGACACGCCTGAGTTAATTAATGGGCAGTTCGACCTCCCGGGTGCGGGGTTCCGAAGTCTACGAACCCAATAGAATAGGATAGCTATCGAGTTTTTAAGAGAGCACCGCCTCTTCTGTCGCGTTGCCGCCCAAACGTTAAAGTCGATTCCTGACCTCGTTCATACACAATATACATAATAGTGTGTAATATGTTGTCTTAAGAAGGAGCCTCCAGAGTGATGGATTCAGGGACGATGAGCAAGTCTGGAAGCCTAACGATTCAGAGACTGTTTCAATTGTCCCTTACCACCAAGCACCTTCTCCGCTCGCCCTGGCTAAACTCCATTGTGCCCTTGTCACAGCGCAAATAAACATCGGAAAAAGAGCTACAGTAGGAGAGAAATCGTATGTCCTTAAGGGACATGTGAACAGAATCGTACTCATGGCACACTAACGAACATTAGGCTCTTCTCACGGTCATCGCCACCATTTCATGTCAGATACAAGCCCCCCTTTGGCATCGTACATCATCATAGAATCCTAGTTATCTGACATGAACTCTCAGGTCATGGCTGTACCTCAACTTCCCAAAAGAGGCCAAGAATCAGCATAAAGTACCTGCTTTAGTCCCGTAATATTCCGGTCTCGTCACGTCACTGAACGAAAAGAGTGGTTTGTATCCGCCGTGAATATCGGAATATAGTCCACCTCAGTATGGAAAATTTTGAGGAACCTCTTACCCTCCACATCAATACCTTCGACCTAGCGTGAGTACTAGTATGATATCACAACAAGACTGGCAGGTCGCATTATCTTCCATGAGTCATGACTACAACCTAAGCTCCAAGACTCATACGTCTACTAGGTACCAAGTTCGACGAAACGGCAAAGCGGGAAAGTCATCGAACCGCGCCGAGAGGGCACTCTTCGAGGTTTTTAAGCTCCTCCATTGCCTGAATATGAATTTCATGGCTCTGTAGAGCATAGCCCAAGCCCCGGACACGTTCGCGTTTGAGACCATTTCTGCGACCGGCCGAATGCAACATGTACGAATCAGGAGCGATGCGGAGGTTACTCCGACGCTTTAACTTGAAAACCGGGATATCCTGGACATATGTAGTCTGATCCAAGATCCGTCTCAACCTTGATGGCGTATCATCTCGGCCTGGGCCGCGACCGAACCTCCTAGGAGCTGCTTCTATCTTGCAGAGCTCTGGATTCGATTTATGTTGCATTTTCTCAAGCAATCTGGATTTCTCTTGACTAACAATACAGTTTCGTGGAATATTTCCCCGTTTCACTCAATCCAGTATGAGATTAGATAGATGAAGAATGCATCCATCATTAGCGTATGACTTGCTGCCGCATGGAGCTATCCAGAAAATTTATATTGAGGGATGTCTGGCAATGTGCCCTTGTCCTTTGAAGAGAGGAGTAAGTCACATTGAGATGGTTACCATTCTAAATTGTAAGGCGAGTGAACTTGTGCTGTTCCAGAACTTGTCGTGTCAACCCTGTTCAGTGTCTAGACTCCTTAGATTGGATCTAACGGCGACTTTTCCAGTTCTGGCGCCTAAAACGTCTCCATCGGAACGCCTGAACACCTCTCGCGTTGTAGTTCATGCAGTAAGTGTTGCTTCTGGATGTGTTTGTTGGCTGCTACGTAGTTCCAGCTAGCCATCAGACTCAAGAAGGAAAAAGAAATACGGCAAGAAGAATATCCAACGGCCGAAGCCATTCTCATTTCATGGGGATACCAGACCTTTATGCCAGATTGGTTAGGGACAAGATCCTGCGGAATTTACGTTGGTCAACCCATTCCCTAGCAAACCTTGTGTAACGAGCACGCCAAAGAACGCCAAAATCAAATTACTGCTGGGGGAGATCTGTCATCTTAACTCTTGGTCCCAGGGAATCCAGGCTTTGACGATCCTGAACGTCTCGCGTAGATTTAGACCAGCATCATCCCTGTCACCAAGATCCATGGATAGGAACTCGGACTTTGAAGAAAGCCCTATACCGAGGGCTTTTCTGCTTGTGCATGCATGCATTCAACGAGGGGGCTTTTGAAGCTGTCACAAATTATCTGAAGACATTGCATTGTTACACAAGAGAGACTTATCCAAAAGGTACCACAACTCTGGCCGATCTCCGAGGCTGATCCGGCTTGTGTATCACGTCAACGGTCGAACAGTCCCATCTGAAATCACAAGTCAACGTTGTGCCTTCACATTTGGATTTTCTTTTCCAAGCTGATCCCTGGAATTCCATTCGTTTTTACACTAAGGTCTCTTTTTACGGATGATACGGAGATGCAATCGATGGAGACAACTTGGCGGCCTCGGCTGTGCCGCGCAGTAGTTCCAGAAAAGGCAAGGTTTCCTTCGAAAAGGGTGAATTTTGAGGTCCACGAATCATGGCTTGCGGCCAGCTTCTACTTTAGAACGTCCACGCGGGATGACTCGAGTCCGTGTCCGGGGTAATCGTCCGGAGATGACAGCCACAGAAAGGGCGTCTTGGAGACGGACCGCATGCGAAAGTCAAGACTCAGACATCTCGTAGCCAGATTGCGCCATGACTCGCACCTCTCACTCATCAGAGAACGTTTGAGCCGCTGCCGAGCCTCGACACCGTTAAACCGCTCGTCTGGTAACGCGCGCGAAACTCTCTTGATCCGTAAGCAACCAATCCGGTATCAAAGCATCGGTTAAGGTTTCGTGTCAACTGGGGCGAGCCTCATTTAGCCGTGGGCAGAAAAGAAGGTCTAAACCTACGTGGATCCCATGGAAGGTAACCCTTGGCGGCTGGCGCAGAGCAAGACCAGGCTCCTGGGTGACTTGTTGCAGAAGCGGCGAGAGCGGTGAATCCCACAGTCATTGTTGCAGGAGTGCACAAACCAGTCTCTGCCAAATCACCCTGTACATGTTACCCTAGACTTAAGGCTCAATGCAACCAAAGCTTTGATCACATTTTGTCCGTATCACACAAGTCCGCGAGGTCTTGATTGGCTCATAAGTTTCTTGGTTAAGTTGATAATTCAGTCTGATTGACTTCAGACTTGGCAATAGTCTCTTTAATCATTTGGGACGGGGTCTTAATTATTGCATCTTTTCTGCCAATTTTCAGTGCCGGTTAACAGAAAAAAGAAGTCCTAGTTGTTGAGGCTAGCGGCCGGTGGGTTTCTTGGCATATGTCGAAGAGACATGCTATCGTGAGGATGGTCAATTGCGAAATTGCAAGGGATATTGCGAAATCTGATCTTGTTGACTCGACAACTCCTCCTGGTAACTGAGTGGGCCTTTTGGAGACTTCTACACGGGTTCCACCTCTATGCCGCCGAAGATATTGTGCCCTGGACCATGGAAGAGCCAAGCATCGTCGATAGATTCCTGGGTGTCTGTGGGATACACCAGCTAAAACGGAAAGTCGATGCCGAACAGGCATATCTTGATACTCCCTGAGGTCTGAAGCACCGCCCCTCTGTTGATAGATGTGGTAGAATTAAGTTCAAGAAGATGATATGAACGAGACCTCGTCAATTCCGAAGGAAACCTAAACTTGTTTCTGTAGTCCTTGAGACAATGGAAACGTGCCTTCGGCATGTGAATTGTAACCCAATGCCGCTTGGCAGAAGCTGCGATGAGGCCCAGAGAGTGAATTGCCAAGTATAAAGAGAGCAGAAATCAGCCGTAAAGATCAAGAAATCCAAGCTTCCCAACACTCCTCTTCTAGCATATTGTCTTTCACCAAATTCTGTTGAGAATATCTTTCAGAACCTCGTCACAAATATGTCAGCCATTACGAAGTCTTTGAGCACACTGGCTCGCCGTGGGGGACGGAAGTCAGCCCTTGGCCATAGCCGCCACTTAGCAACCGTCACAGACCACAACCTCGCGCGGATGGCTGCCACAATGCCTCCGGGACACAAAGCCACAGTAGCTCAGCTTGAGACATTCACACTCCCTGAGCGTGTTACGGGTAGCCCTGGTGATCGTGCCATGGGAAAAGCTTTGGTTGATGCCTGGCGCCGAGATGGTATCCTCCAAGTCTCTATGAATGACAAGCAGCAACACATCTTCAATGAAGCCACAGCCTCAAGCAAGGCATTTTTTTCCAAACCCCATGAAGAGAAGGCTGCATGTGTTGACTCTCAAAGCTACTCGGGCTACATCGCCTCTGGCGAGGAAATCACCGATGGTATCGCCGACTACTCAGAGATCTTCACCGTCACTAAAGACTTGGATCTCGCTGAACCCCGCGTTCGCGCAAAGTGGCCCTGCCACGGCCCGGCCCCGTGGCCCGACTACGAAATGAAACAGCCCATGACTACATACATGGACTACCTTGGAGAAAGTGGAGAGAAATTGCTCCAGCTTGCTGAGCTGGGCCTGAATGTTCCCGCCGGTTCCCTCACAAACCTGACTCAGGACGGCTGGCATCACATGCGTATCCTCAGGTAAGTAACAATCATGGTATCAGCCAAGTCGTCTCAGACACCTATCTGCTAACACTTATCTCACTAGATTCCCTCCTACCCACAACACCAACGGCAAGGGCAAGGCTGGACGTGGCATTGGCTCTCACACAGATTATGGCCTGTTGGTCATTGCTGCCCAGGATGATGTTGGTGGTAAGTCATGGTCATGAGCGAGTCGGACTTGGCGGAAACTAACACACTCGTTCAGGCCTTTTCATCCGTCCCCCATACGACGGTGAGCACTACGCAAACTGGGAAAGGAGCTCAGCTGGAATGGCAGAGGAGGACGACCGGTGGCACTACGTGCCCCCTGTTCCCAACGTCTTCACAGTCTTCCCCGGTGATATCATGCAGTACATCACCAACTCCTATCTGCCCTCTACCCCTCATAAGGTCGGCTTGAACACCCGCGATCGTTTCGCTTTCGCCTACTTCCATGAGCCCAGCTTCCAGGCCGTTGCCAAGCCTCTTCCAGGGTACGATGTCGGCCAGTCTCCCAAGGAGGGAATCCACTACGGCACTCACTTTACCAACATGTTCCTGAGGAATTACCCTGAGAGAATCACCACTAAGAGAATGCATGCGGAGAATCGTCTTGCCCTCCTCGAGAGGGAGGAGCTCCGAGCCCATTCTTCTCAACCGAATACAACAGATAGAGCTGTTGCAAATGCTGGACAGCAGACTCAACAGGCTTCCTTATAAGTCAATAACTTTTAAGTAGAAGCAAGCGACACAAATTGGTTTTGGTTCCACAGGCCTGACGCTGTGGGGAGGGAACGCAATGGGAATACCAAATTGATTTACACCCCTTCAAGCAAAAATTTCTAGATTTGTATGTAAAAAAACGAAACCAGGCCAAATGAGTTTGCTCAAGAGCGCAGTGACACCTCTTGGCTTTAAGCGAACTTCTTACGTCCAACTCTGCTGTGCCTCTTGTCAATCGTGCTGAAGATCCGGCAAAGAACCTAATTGTTGATCACCTTAGTCTTCAGTGTGTTCTCGCCTAATCTCGCAGGTGCGAAGAACTGTCTGTCAAAATTAGTTCAGATGGCATGCTCTTTGTTGCCCTGGTCAAGGTTCTGCTCCAACAAACGTAAGTTGGGAAGGTATGTAAGAGTTGGAGGTCGCATATGACAACGTCTCCTGGCATGCTTTTTCAAACCCCAATTAGGCTTCCCCGTCCGAACCTGCCTCTCCACAACAACTTTATCCACACCACCACACCCAAACTTCACGTCCACAATACGATACCTCTTACGCCACAATCAAGTAATCCGACATGGCATCCTCGGCGATACGATTCGTGGCAGGCACCAAAAAATCACCATTGGGAACCTTGTATCTACAATGTCATGTAAAACCTGGCGCTTCCCGAGTTCGTGAGGGGGTCACTGCCGTCACAGATGCGACCGTAGAGCTGTGCGTTTCTGCGCAGGCGAAGGAAGGCGAAGCAAATAAAGCTGTCGTGAAACTGCTCAGTGGGGTATGTGTACTATTTTTTTTATTTTCTTTTTCTTCGCTCTGAAGCATTTCCGAATCGCGCGGCAGGAGCATACCAAGGCTTGCGGTCTTCCGTTGCGACAATTTGCTAACTCAGTCACAGATTTTGGGTATTCCCAAATCAGACCTCACAATTACCCAGGGGCTCAAGTCCAGAGACAAGACTGTCGCAGTGGGCAACATTCAAGATGGAGAAATAACGATGGCTAAGATCAGAGAGCAGCTTGAGAAAGCCTCAGAGGATGGCTGATGAAGCATCACAAGGAGGTGTAAAAAGCAATGCGGTTAATTTTCCAAACAGCTAACAACAAGAACACAAGAGAAAATGTCGACTCCATGATCCTTCCCTGTATAAATGATTTTGCCTGGACTTTTTTGATTACTACACCACCACTTGCATTTTGAAATGATGGCACGCTCAGCTGTTCAATCTACTACTATGATGAGTATACACAGACATTCTAGTAAGGTCCAGGCATAATTTCGACGTAGCACTAATGAGCTAGAAGTAAACCGCGAGAGATTCATCCAATAATCATTCCTTTTAGACTTGCCTCAAATTTGATCGTAAATGAGCTCTATTAACGTTCAATTTCGTCGTGTCGATGACCAGATTCACCATTCAATTGATTGATTCCCTCTTTGGCTAAAATGTCTTCGCCGGGGGGCAAACAGTGCTTGGAACTGTTAACCTCCCGTGGTCAGATGCAAAAGCGCAGGTAGCATCTGAACCTTGGCTAGAACGCTGCCTTCTATACCTTGGATGAGGAACTCGTTGCGTCTCAATTCTCGCATCAACCTTCATCTCTGACTTCATTCCTTGTCAACCGGCACGCCCACTGACCGCTTTGAAATAGCAGGCTATGCATTTAATCAGATCAAGAACAAGCTGTATCTAGCGGTCCCCGACGAGGACTTGTCGGTTCAAGATGGACAAGTGTGAGAAAAAGATACACATCTCTATTTCTGGAGTAGAAAATTTCTTCGTCTGTTTCACTCCTGCAGTTGCGATGACCAACCTTATCACGTGCGGCTGAGAATTGACTTTAAGCAAGTATCTCTACTAGAACAATCATACAATGGCTACACATGGTGGCCATGTATAATAAGTCTAGTAATGAAAACTCAGATAGCAATGAAAGCCGTGAAAGCTGTGAAAGAGAATTTATATCGAAGAAACAAAAGTCATAATTGCTATATAAGCCTTCAAGATTTTACCTGAAAAGCTGGACCGTGGAGGGAAGACTCGTGAGGCTCCTGAATGATTGGCTTTTCTACTCTTTGCGGTCCAAAGAGGCATGGACCGACTTGGGAATATCGGCTAACCGCCCGGACAGCAAATCCTTGTATGTGTTTGCAGATTAGTTGTCACAGTTGACTAGTCTGCAGCATTGCATGAGAACACGACATGGTCCACATGCGTTGTAACGTAAACTGACGTAGACTGTGCGAAGGCTTGTGAGAACATGTGATGATGATATTTGAAAAGGCTACCTACCTAAGTAGTATTGAAATATACAGGGCCAGGGCAACGCAGCCAAGCTCAATTGTTTCTTCAGCCGACGAAATGTGCATCAGGAAAAATGGTCTTATTAAATGACGAAAATCTAGAATTCACAATGGCATCAGTTGGCGGCTACATGGCCTCGTTTGACTGACTTTCGTCGATCTGAGCCGCTTTGAAGGAAGTGAGGTTGCACTGAGCCTGGGTAGATGTACTGCCAGTTGGTTGAACGTACCAACTTTGATATTCGTAACCCCTCTTCGCCAAGTGTCAGACCACATGCATACTGGTTGTGTAACAGATACGCAAGTCGAATCGAGTGGGCTCATGCGAATGTGGAGCGTTGCGGTTGCGACCAACGTGCTGACCATGATACCAGGGTATCACAAACGATCTCCATTGTTCCAACCACTACCAACAGCTTGCTTTCAAATTCATAATCTTTATGTTATCTATGTTGTAGCTCCCAACTTTTCATCCGGTGTTTGCACTCCCAAGTTTTTCATAGTCTCCTCGGTAACCCTGCGCCAACCGCAGTAGTCGATTGCTTGAAGGCACATCATGGATCCGATTCCGTTCCCTCACAATGGGATTTCATCATCCTGGGTGACCATATTGAGCAGTGCGCAAACGCATAAGACCAGTCTTGTTTTACTGACGCCTGCCATCAGCTGTTTTCTCTGGTTCTTTGCCTCTTGGCAGACGTCCCCGTTGAAGAAGTTTCCCGGACCACTCCTCGCAGGTAATTCATGAGCTTCCAGCCATAAGACATCGCCGAAGAGAACAGAAAGCTAACCCCAAAGGATGGTAGGATGGACGAATGTTTGGAGGTTTTGGCAGGTGATTGCAGCGGAATATGCCCCTCGCATAAAGAAACTCCACGAGAAGCATGGCCCAGTTGTTCGCCTCGGACCCAACCTTCTAGACATTGATTACCCCGAGTTAGTCAAAGTCATCTACGGCACCGATGGTAAATGGAAGAAGGTAGTGCCGTTACCAAAAGCTCATACCTCGCTGTCTGCTAAGTCAATAATTTACGCAGTCCGATCTTTACAAGAATAGCAGCACAATCATTGACGGCAAGATTACCTATCACATGTTCAGCGAGACCGATAACAAAGAACACGCAAAACTCAAAAGGCCTGTAGTGAGACACTTCTCGGTCCCCAGCGTGCTTGCGATGGAGCCCCATATGGACAAGACTATAGAGGAGTTTTGCGATCATCTCGAGCGTCGATTCGTGGACACCTCCAAGGCCTTCGAGTTTGGCGACTGGCTTGCTTACTGTAAGTCGGAGAAGGCATGCTCAAACTGTTTGGTCGCACGGCTGACTTAGTCTTTTTTGTACAGGTGCGTGGGACTTTCTTGGCTACGTCACTTTTAGTAGAAAGTTTGGCTACATGGACGAAGGCCGTGACTTCGACGGCACACTTGCAATCGGCGACCAGGCGATTGATTACCTCGGTCTCTGTGGCCAGATGCCGTGGCTGGACCACTGGTTGGACAAGAACCCGGTCTATCCTCTCGGACCCCCGAACCTATCCAACGTGACCAGGATCGCATTCGAGAACCTGACTGCGAGGCTCAAGGGAGAAGATGATGGCTTCAACCCCGAGAAGCCAGATTTTCTGCAGTACTTCATCGACTCCAAGGGGACACATCCCGAGATTGTCAATGAGGGCACCATTATCGGCTACCTGCTTTTGAATTGTGAGTTATCCCTTCAACTCCAAGCATTACAGCAACTGACAAGAAGAATAGTGATTGCAGGGGCTGATACCACAGCCATTACAATGCGTGCACTATTCTACTACTGTCTCAAGGACGCGCGTATCTGGAAGCGATTGGAAGCCGAAGTCATCTCTGCTATCCCAGCGGACAAGCCCGCGCCCTACGCCATCGCCCGCGGGCTGCCATACCTTGAAGCCGTTTGTCGGGAGACCCTGCGCTACCACCCACCCATCGCGATGACAATGGAGCGAATCGTGCCCGAGTCGGGTCTCACCCTTCCAAATGGGTCCTTCGTAAGAGGGGGAACGCTCATCGGCATGAACCCTTACATCATGGGACGCAACAAAAAGGTCTATGGCGAGGACGCCGACGAGTTCAGGCCAGAGCGGTGGCTTCAGCAGGAAGATGAGGACGACGAGGCCTACAAGCTGCGAATGCGGCAGTGGAATGCGGCAGATATCGTCTTTGGCGGTGGCTCACGAATCTGTCTAGGGCGGAACCTAAGTTTGATGGAGGTCTATAAAATTATTCCGTCTTTGATTTCGAGGTTCGAGATTGAGCTTGTGGATCCGAATGAGCAGTGGTGGACTAGCTCGCGGTGGTTTTACCGGACGAAGGGAGTTGTCTGCCACTTGAAGCGCAGACCTGCAAAGGCGTGAGGCACTGGAGAGTGTCCAATTAAAACGTGGGTGAATGTCACCATCATTTTGTGCACACAAGAGAGGACCGAAAGACTAATGAATGTACTTGAAGGTTGATTACTATTACTATGCTACAACACACACACACGCAAACTCCAATCATGCCGTAGGAGCGAATGTCCCGTTGGCGCACTCGAAGCCGAGGTTGGGGTTGAGTGTCGGCATCGCGTTCATGCAGATGAGCTTGGAGGCGCCGCAGCTCTGGGGGTGGATCTTGATGTCTCTAGTCTGGAAGTTCTTGCAAGACGTCTGGGTGTTGCACTCAATGATGACGGCCTCGGTGTGGGTGAGGTTCGGGAGACCAGAGTTGTACCAGCAAGGCTACGTTTCAGCGTCAGCATACATGTACTCTTCCTCAATTGCAAAACCTGAAATTGTGTGTGCGAAAGAAAGACTTACGTTTGTGGTGCAGGATCCATCGCCGGGGTTGTTGGTGTTGATGCTGCCGGAGAAGTGCTCCCAGGTGAAGTCCTCCATCATGACGGACGAGTTGTTGGGCCTGTCGCCGCCGGCGCTGGCCTGGTTGAAGTAGGTCTGCGTGACAAAGATGGGGAAGGTAACGTTGTCGAGACGGATGTTGCTCCAGGTAATGTTCTTCGCCAACCCCTGTCCACCGATCCAGCTCTTGAAGCGGGCAGCGTACAACCCGCCGTGAACATCAACGTCCTCGAAGCGGATGTTCTTGACATCAGCCACGGAGGCGACCTTGGAGCCCAGCGAGCCGACGCTCATGCCGTGGGTCTCGAAGCCGATGGTGGCGTGCTTGAAGAGGACATTGTTGGCGCCGTCGTTGATGGCGATGGCGTCGTCGCCGTTGAAGATGTTGCTGTTGGTGATGGTCACGTCCGTGGCGCCGACGTCGAAGCCGTCCGTGTTGAAGGGGAAGCTGCTCGTCTCGGAGCGGGCGTCGATGACGGTGTCGGAGATTGTAATGTTCTTGCCCTTGATGGAGAAGTTCCAGCCGATGGGCTTGAGTGACTTCATGTTCTTCATGATGCCGTTGGTGACGCTGAACTGCATGAGATGGGGCCGGTTGGGCGTGCCAGCCTCACCAGGCTTATTGGCATCCCACCAGGCTTGTCCGTGGGACTTTATCCATCCGGCGTGAGGCTGTAGAAGGGTATTGTGAGTATCGATCAGAATTCGTCAGGGTATTACAGTCAGAAAACATACATCAGTTGAGGCGATCCATTGAACGTTGGTGCCGCCGATTTGGAACCAGGTGAGCGTGCCGCCCTTGGCAGAAACGAGGGCCTGGACGGTGGGGATGTCCTCGGGCAGAGTGATGTTGCCGTTGACGGTGATGACGACGTTGGAAAGCTTGGTGGCAACAATCGGCTCGTAGGCCTTGTACTCGACGCCTTCACGGAAAATGATCTCGGCATCGCTAGCGCACTTGGTGAACGCCTCGGCGATGGCGGCTGCGTCTGATGTCGCATTGCTGGAGGGCGAAATAACGCATTTCGTCGTCTGCGCGAGCGCGGGGGCTGCGAGAGAAATTGCCAAAGGCAGCAGGTTACGGTACAGCATGGCGGCAGCGAAGAATGTAGAGACCGTGAGTTGGCGTTTAGAGAGAGAATGGGCAGCTTAGCGACGACTCAAGCTATCACGGCGGCCAAGCCGGGTTATTATAAACATCTCAAAGCTTCGCCCCCGAGTCGTGGGACCCTCTCATATTGAGGGGTCCACACAGAAGAAGAAGGGTGACATCGGTCTCCCGGGTCAGAGCATATCGAAGAAAGCACACCCGCAGATTTACTGGGAAATCATTTGAGTTGGGTTGGGATTCCCGGGATGGTGGTGGTTTTTTGCGGAGATGAGACTAGTATCAGGTAAGGAGAGGCCGAATCTTAACGGCTTACTGACGTTGGTCCCGGTGGACAGCAGCAGTCTCGATTGCGGAGGAGAGAGGGGAGTGCAGGAGTCAGGGGGTCCCAAAAGGGGGATAGGCAAACGAACGTGAGTTCAGACGATCCACCGTCGAGGGTGATTGGATGGAAAATTATTCCCCGTTTCCTTGACTGACCTAACAAGTTGCGCTATGGAATTGAGTCCTTGCAAGCTGCGAAAAGAGATCTTCCGCACGTGTTGGAACTTGGTCCCCGTTGGTATTAGTGATCCCCGCGCGTGAACTTGCGCTTGACTAGGACCAGGGCCGGAAATGCGGCACACTACCCTGCGGCTCTTTTCCTCATATTCTGTGAGTTGAAGACTTGGCAGATGATCAGGAACCGAAGTGTCGTCAGTTGTGAAAAGAAAAGAAGATTATCCTTGGCAGAATGTGTAGCTGGTCAGATAAGTGATTTTGCGTATCAATTTGCGAGGTGCGACAAGTCATATCAAAGACATAGCCCTATGTTCCTGGTCAATCTAAGACAGGGTGTACTAATCAAACCTTGTGCCATCTCAGTGAGCAATTTCCGGCTAAACTTTGGACGTAGTCTATATTTTGAATTTGAACCTACATGGGTGCCACGAGATCTCGGATGAGCAGCACCGCGGAGGTATCTGTCAGCGAGCAGGCCGGGCTCAATTCTAGGCCGCTGTCACTTTATTGGCCTGGTAAATGGAAATATCGCTGGTTGAAACCGCAAGTGGTTGTCCACAAAGTCTCGGTTTCGAGCTCCTCAATCTTTCTGTCAAATTCTACAAATCACGCACAGCTTGTATCCCGAATGGATGAATAAGTATCTTCCAACAGCAATGCTGTCGTGGACATCGCAGAAGCCAAGCCGGAACCCCGTCTGGATCGACAGATTGAAAAGGCCGGCCCGGCTCGGCGATCTCGGCCCCCCACTCTTTCCCGCGTGGTCGAAGCAGCCCCGGCCCTCCTCTAGCATTTGATATCGAGGACAACGTCTTCGTTTCTTCTCAATAAGCCTTGATCTATACTTGGAGGCGTACAAGCCATACGTCACTGGCTTAGCACCTCTTGATTCGCGTACAGAGACATAATAAGACGCTCTTGAGGCTTTCAAGTTTAGGCAGTTCAATATTTTTTGGATTACATTCGTCGAATGATTTGGTGCCGGGTATCATACACATGCCGCGTCTCACTCCTCCTGCTGCTCCTCCGCCTGAACTCTCTCCCTCACCGGGGCGGCCGCTGGTCTCGGCTGAAGCCCCTTTTGCTGATCCAACTTCCTCCTCTCCCAAGGCTTCAACCTGGTCTCCTCGGCCGGCCCGTCCACCTCCTTGGCCCACTTGACCCAGTCGGACCGCCTCGTCTTCCACATGTCACCCTTCCATGTGCGCCAGACGCTGCGGCCCATCCACGAATCACGTAGGGCCCTCTCGTGCTCCGCCAGCGCGCCGATGATGGTCTGCTTGACGTGGAACGGAATCGACCGGTCCGTGCCGCGGGAGGGCACCTCGATGATGGCGAGGACGACGTTGTGGCCAAACTGCGACTGGGCGAGCTCTGCCGCGTGCGGGGCGAGCGCACCGACGAGCGCCTTATGGAAGAATTCATTTTGAGGGGCAGCCGGGGTGGCGAGAGCTGTCGTCAGGACGGTCATGGATGCCATTGACGTGGTTGAGAGCTTGACGAGGAGGTCTGGGGGAGTGGCGAGGAGTGATTTCTGGGCGACCTTGACGGGGTTGCCGGAGGTCTTGAGCATGGCTGTTACGAGTTGACAGCCGTGGTTGGCGACGGCGGTTTTGTTCTGCGGGCCATCCTGCTGGAACTTCTTGTCCTCGGCGGCGGGCTCTTCCTCGACGAGGTGGCACAACTTCGGCACCACGTCCCTGGGGTTGGAGCCGAGCGCGTCAGTGAGAGCTCTTGTGAGCGCGCTCTTCTCCTCGTACGCGCCACGGGCCTCACAGCGCTCAAAGAGGGTCTTGAGCACGTTGTACCGAGCCTTGGTCACCAAGAGGGGCACGGCGGGGATGATCTTCTTGACGGCCTCGACAAGATCGTCCTTGCTGGCACGGTTCAGAACGCGGAGGGCGGGATACGAGGCAATGTCGTTGCGGACGTAAGTTGCGATACGCTCGCCGAAAAAGTTGCGAGAGAGCGCCTTGAAGATCTTGCCGGGGCAGTTTGTGAGGAGCGTCTCGAGGAGACGAGATCCGATCTGGTCGTACACCATGCTGTTGACAAAGTCTGCCGCCTGTGATGACTCGTCGCTCAGGGATTGAGGTGCGTCGGGCAACAGCCTGTACAGCAGGGTATCCTTTGTTGATGCTGCGGATTCCTTATCGTTCTTGTGGTTGAGAGAGATGTCGAGCTCAAGCAGAAGCTGGAGGAGAGGGTTACCCGTAGGGTGCTTGGCGAGCACGCGCAGTGCGGTAAAGTCCATGCCGGAAACGGCGTCCTGGATGATCTTCTTGGTAGCCATGGTGAAGGATTCGGGAACGGCCCTCAGCTGGTGGGTGAGTTCGTCCGCGGTTGCTGTGGCTCCCTGGACGGAAATGTACTCCTTCTTTTTGCTCTTCAGCATCGACTTGGTAGCTGCGTCGTCCAGTGGTCTTCCAGATAGAACAACCAGGAGCACGCGCAGGGTATGAGATCCGAACCGGTCCGTCAGGAGGAAGCCCATGTGCTCCTCAAACTCGTCGAGCGTCATGAGGAAAAGGTCTTCCATGGTGTTTTCTGGCTTCGGCTCGCCATCCTCCTCGGTATCCATCTCGTCGTTCGCCTTGGGTTCGGACATGATACCTCCCAGCTCTTGTGTCACAACAGGTGCCGACTCGAGGAACAGCTTCTCACAGCAGTGGCTGGCAAATCGATGCTGGACCAGAGACAGGAAATGACTGGCAAAGGCGTTGAAAATCTGCTTCTTCTGTCTCGTGTTGGAAAGAATGATAAGGCGCTCCATGAGTCGTGAAAGCGATTGACTGCTGGCCAACTTCAATTCCTTGCCCCGCGCCTCCTTGTACACGTTTTGCAGGAAGACGTCGCGCTCCTCGGACGAGGGAAACTGGTTCAATTCGAGCAGCTCGTCGGCGCGGCGGAA